CTTCTTTTCTTTAAAGACTTTTATAAGTTTTTCTATTTCTATTGTTTTTGTGTCTTGGTTACTAGAATCAGACTGATGTATTGTTTGTTCTATTTTTAGAACGATTTCTTTTATTTCACTAACTATTGTTAGAATTTGTTGTACATTTCCTATTTCCGGATTTTTAGACATTTATTCCTAACTCATTTCCAATTTGATTTACAAGTTGGATTACTTTATTTAGTTTTTCTATTAGTGGGTCAATTTTTGGAATTTTCCCATCTAATTTTGTTAGAGTTTCTTCTAATCTGTTTATGTTTATCTTATTAATATTTTCTATGATTTTATCAGCTTTTGCTGCAATATCAAGAATTTCTGAAAGTAAAGTATCAAGAAATTCAATATTTCTACTTGTTTTTTCGAGTCTTTCAAGAATTAGGCCTTGATTTTCTCGAATTTTTTCAATATTTTCCCAGAGGGGAGTGTTTTTCATTTTTTAATGCTTTTTAAGTGAGTTAGTACCGTTATGAGTAATACTGGTACATTTTCTTTAAAGGAGTGGTACAAAGATAAAATTGTGTTTTATCTAATTGGTATAAGGGTAAAAACGTATTTTTCCCTTATGAGGGGACCAATTCTTTTGCCTTTAGGGAGTGGAAAGGAAGAAAATTTTTTTAGGGATTGAAGAGGAAAGTGAAAGTAGGTTTGGGGATTTAAAAGGAATTAGCCTTTTTTTTATATCCAATCATCCTCAATAATGCAGAATTTAAAACAAAAATTCCGGATCTGGATTCAAAAGGCCCCGCCCGGACCCATGCCTTCACAAGGCTTTTGGTGCTACTAATTGCTCCGGATGTTCTTCCCCCTTTCTTCAAATGATTCTATTTCCCTTATCTAAAACATTTTTAATATCTCACCAGTGCAATAGACCATGACAATTAGTAAATAAGATCAAGTGTCCCATTTCTCCTTATAAGCAAAGATTTAGATTATTTTTTGAATTGTCAGTTAATATATAGTTATAAAATTGACTATGTATTGTATGGTATCAAGTTAAGCAACAAATATTTATTGTTTACAGAATCATATTTTGTTAATAATTTTCCAAATAAGCATATGACATGTAGACTATCCATTTCAATTTACCATTGTAGATATTTTGTATATATATATTTTTTTTTTATTTCAATGCTTGAAATGAAATTAATAAATAAATCTATTACAAAAAATAAATATTTGTACAAAAAGACAAAAGAAGAAACATAAACTATAAATATATTATAGTTGAAATTTTAAAAATAATATATTCACATTAAAAACAAATTATCACCAATAATTCAATTGTTTCTGTTAAAAAAATTGATGGATTCTAAAGAAAGAGAATCAAATGGAGAACATCGTAATGAAAATTTGAGACGAAAATGACAAATGAATAATGTAAAGTAATAAAGGATTAAGAAATAAGGAATTAAATATTATTTATTTTTAGTAAATCCAAGTTTAGATGTCAAGTGACTTTACCATCCGAGCTTGTGTGTTCAACACAAACCATAGAATTTTTGGTAAGTAAGAACACGCAAGCCTACCTTGATCTCATCATATTTTAAAATTATACAGAGAGGTAAAATGTTAACACTTTTGTTTATTACACGAGTTACGTAAGAGTGCCGAAACCACTCTTTATTCCTCGTATTGAGAAAGGATAGTAATGTAATTTAGGTCCATGAGTTCCAACCCAGCAAGTAACTGAGCATTGTTATAAGCCCCCATCAAGCAATCAAGTTCTTCCCCCCTTCCCACTCCAAGAAGAATCTCTCTCTCTCTCTCTCTCTCTCTCTAGCCAGTGCCTGCCTAGTTTTCCTCACTCAAATTCGTTATCCCCTTTCTCTCTCCTCTGCTGAGAGTAATGGGTCTGAGCCCTCGTTACTCTTACACCCCCCACAGCAACATTATGCAGCTCACCACCACTTTTTTCCGTCACAAACCTTGAGATTCATTCTCTTTATTTTCTCTTCTCGCTCATCCACAGTGATTCTTATCCCCCTTGAAAAAGTGATTATCTACTGAAGTTTCCTTGGAAAAAGTTTCAATCTTTTTCAGCAAATTAGAAAAATAAAAAAAGTTCATGGAGGTTTACAATGATTCTCCCAGGGTTACTGTTCAGTTAAAGAGTGAAAAGATTCCTTCTGAAATTCTTGATTCTGCTCTGTGGGCTCCGAATGCTTCCTCTTTTCATGGTACTCTATTTTACTTGCACAATTTTTGTTTTTATTTTTTGTTCAGATTCATTTTTCCTTGTGGGTTCTTACTGTACTTGTTTTGTTGTTCTTTTCCTGATAAGCCTTTATGGTTTTGCTTCTAAGTGTAAATGAACAGTTAAATGATGCATATATTCTTTATGATGTCTCAATTTTTTGAAGTAAAAAGACGCGAATCTTTGTCAGTTGTGGAAAAAAAGGGAAATTTGTTGTGAGGTAGTGCGGTTGATTGGTTTTGCCCTGCTGTTTGGATTGTTGCTGCGACAATCTCTTTTATAAAAATAAAAAAGTAGCTTTAGAATATAGAAAGTGTTGGTTACTGTTCAACATTTCAGTATCCAATGATGGTATAAACTTTTTGGCAATTGATGTTGAACTCGTTGGTTGAAACTTGAAAATATACCCTTCCAAGGTTAAGCATATTGCAATGGCTGAAGAATTAATGAACTAAACCCATCTGGATTAACATGAATATTTTGATATTCGAATGCAAAAATGACTTTTTAAAAGATACTTATTACCAAAACTTTACATTTGTTGATTGTGCTTGTTCTGTGCCAGCCTCTGCATCTATGGTGAACTTTGAAGACGAAAACAACACAGGTACACATTTTTTCATGAAAATGGAGAACAAGATGGAAACTTGCAATGATGGTTATGACGATTGCTATCACTCGACGGGGAGGAAAAGGCGGCTCACTACAGATCAAGTCCATTTTCTCGAGCAAAGCTTCGAGCTGGAAAATAAGCTCGAGCCTGAGAGGAAAATCCAGCTGGCCAAGGAACTTGGTTTGCAGCCAAGACAAGTCGCGATTTGGTTCCAGAACAGAAGGGCTAGGTACAAAACCAAGGTTCTCGAGAAAGAATACGATAAGCTTAAAGCTAGCTATGATGGGCTGAAGGTAGATTACGACAACCTTTGCAAAGAGAACGACAACTTGAAAAATGAGGTAGTTTATGATATTCTGTATTCCTCTCCAAATTAGATCGTGGGTTGAATTTAGTTTGGATAGTATATGTTACATTCTTGTTATTATATGGCAAAATGACCCCGTTTTATGAAAAAACTCGCTGATGCAGTCCCCAACACCCCAGAAATTTTATACTTCAATTTTGGAAAAAGATTGGATTTTTTAGTGACTATCCGCAGTTACAGTTGGTCTAGCTTGCTGGGATGTATATGAAAACATTCTGGTGTGGACAATTGTTCTGATAAATTGGTGACAAACCGAAACTTTTGAACCGAAATTCATGAAATTGCAATTGTTCTTGGCAATTTTTATGAAATTTCCAAAGGAAACAACTGAATCATTGAGTTTTTCAAAGATCTAGGAGGATATAAAAAAAAAAAAATCCTGAAATAACATTATCAGCACATCATTTTACTTCTTCTTGATTTGTTTGGCTACCCTACCCATACAGGTGGACTCGCTGACTGAGAAATTGCTCACAAGAGAAAACAAACAGGCCAAGCCTGAACCAACCGATCACGACATTAGTCCAACAGATTCAGCATCAAAGCAACTGATTTTCTCTCCAAATGCTGTCAAAAATACCGAATTGGCTGCCCCCTGCAAACAAGAAGATGCCTCGAGCTCGGACGTGTTTGACTCGGAAAGCACAAACTGCCATCATTCACTGGCGCCATTGGAGCCTGCTAACTCGTCCAACGTTTTCGGGCCAGAGGCTTCTGATTTCTCTCAAGAAGAAGATGACGAGAGCCTGAGCAGGAACCTGTTGATGGCATCGGTTTTCCCAAAGATCGAGGATGAATTTTACGATGATTTGCAGCCGAATTCGTGCAATCTGGGGTTTCCTGTTCAGGATCAGGGGACATGGCTGTGGCAGTATTGAGTTTCCATGGTTCAGGTGTTAAAATGGGTTGGGATTTTGTTTGGTTTGGGATTTGATGTTGTTTTTGTGTACTACTTTTGCCAGGATCTTGTGTTAATAGCGAAGGGGGTTTGATTAATAATATGAAGGTTTATTATTAGGTATTTCTCTTGCAAGAAATTAATAATATTAGGGTTGAGGGATTTGAAATCCCTTGATTTTGATTTTTTAAAAATATAATATTTTACTTTCAAATCCTTTGAATGGATTTATGGAAAAAATTATAAATACATTGTCTAGCTTGCATCGATAATGTTCACTCGTGGTGGTGATGAATTTGAATGAAGAATCATACTTGCAGACTATGTGATCGTCAACGGGGATAAATAGTGGATTTCAAATGACTAGGTTTGAGCAGTCCAAGGGTCTGACTTCCCCTATGATCATTTCACTTGTTCTTTCCAAGTTCAATGGGCAGTCTATGGAAGATCCAAAACTCTACCGATCAGTTGTTTGGGCACTATAGTATGCTACAATTCCAAACCTGAACTTTCTTGTAGTGTCAACAAAGTATCTCAATTCATGCAATCACCATTGAACACACACTGGAAGACTGTCAAGAGAGTATTGAGGTATATAGCATGGACTCTCAACTATGGAATGCATTTTTATATTCCAAAGAGGCTACAAATTAAGACTTATGTAGATGCTGATTGGGGCTAAGACATTGATGACAAAAGATCTAAAAGTGGCTCTTGCACTTTCTTGGGGCCAAATTTAATTTCTCGGAGCTCTAAGAAGCAGAAGATTGTATCTCGATCAAGCAATGATGTTGAGTACAAGTCCTTAGCTCATGCTACATGTGATGTGGTTTGGCTACAGACATTGCTAAGTGAACTAAAGATATCACCTACAAACGAATTGTCATATGGATGGACAACGAAGGTGCTATTTCTCTTGTTGGGAATCTTGTCTTCCATTCTCGGACCAAGTACTTTGAGATTGATCTACACTTCATACGGGAAAAGATGGCTACTCAAGGTATCTCAGTTAGACATATTCCTGCCCTTGATCAAGTTGTTGATTTGTTCACGAAACCAATTAGTAGCCAACCCTTCACAAGAACTAATATCAAATCCAAACGGGTCCCTGCAAGCATTGGCTTATATGGTACAAAGCCATGCAATGGCATGCAGCCACATGCCCCCATGACAGCTCAACATCGTACAAGAATTGCTAATCCTTATTGCTATGTGTCTTCATCAAGTGTTCTAGGTTAAGAATCAACTGTCTAGATGAATGCTTGTAATGAGTCTTGGTAGTGTATAAACCTCTGAGAAAGGTAATTCTGATTCAAGAATTATTAAAAATTTGTGTGCTTATTTCAAACTTCTAGAAGGTACAACAAGACAACAAGTCCACTATATTTATTAGAATATATGAATATAATAATAATAGTATGTAATAGTGTACGTTAAGTAGGATGAAAAGTGAGAGTGCCCACAAAAGTCAAAAGTTTTAAGAGGGTGCATTTCAACGTTCTTTCATATGTGCTGGATTTTTGCTCAATTTGGCCAACTATTGATGTTGATTTCTTGTTTTCCATATTTAATATATATAATGTACTTGGCTTAAACTTTAAATAGTGAATACATGGTAAGATTTTAGGGATGTTTTTGGAGGAGCGGATCTAGCAAAATGAATAAGGAGGGATCAATTTTTTGTAGTAATTGAAAGGGCTATTAAAAAAAATGGCACAAATAAGACAAAAAAATAACACTATAGATACATTATAATTTTTTTATATAATTCAAGATGAAATCTACTACAATATCTCTAATATTTTGTAAATTTTATTATTATTATTCATTCTGATGACTAGAAATGTATTATTATCAAAACAAAAATACTCATCTACAAAATGAAAACATATTAAGTTGTATACAATGCCAAGGTCTCATGATTTTTCTCAATATTAAATTGTACTCGACATGAGTAGAGATAATATTTCTCAATATGTTGGAGCAAAGAATTTATTACAATTCTATTTCTTAGTTAATTTCGTAGTTGACATGATTTTCATTGACAACAAATCTCTAACATAACAGTTATTATAGTAGCATGCAGTGTTTTGATATATTTTTACAAATGTACAACAAATAAACAAGACAATGTAATAAGAAAAATTTAATATAAGATAACAAGAAAAAAAAACTAATTAATAAACAACTTCATTTACAGATTATTTTTGTAAAACTACACACTTTTTATATTTATTCTTTTGAAAATATATATTATAAAAATAAAAAATTTAAAATTCCAGGTGGGGCCTAGGAGGGGCTATAGCCCCGCCCCTGTGTTTTTGGTCATGATATTATACAGATAAACTTTTTTCACAAACTAAATTATTGTATTTTCTTGATAAATGGAACATAAATTTCATAAACACTAATAATTTGTAATGTCTCGTACATCTTGACCATGTATATATCTGTATTTTTACGGAGGATTGTATGGTTTAGTACGAAAAATTATAAATTATGAACATTTATTAATTTCATATTACATTTTACAAATAGTAGTAATAATAATATATGCAAGTCAAAGAATATGTAGAATACAAGCTGCAAAAATTATTATTTTATTATGAGATGCAATTATGCAGAACTTCACAAATCCAAGAACAAAAAAACAGGAATTCCAATGTGCTTTCGGTTGTAAAAGAGGATCTCCAAAAGTTTACTTGATTTTTATTTCGTTTAGCCTCAACTTGCTCCAATATTTTACTAAAAAATATTCACTATTTTTCTAATGATGATACTAACCACAAAACAAAA